GTCATATGAGGGCTTGGCTGTGTTTGCAAAAGGACTTGAGTTCGATTCCTACCTGAAGGTATATTGGCATATTGGTATATTTTGGCCGTCAGAGCAGGTTCGACTGTGTTTATTTTGTAAGTCCCGCAAAAGTCTAACGGAATCTAAAGTCAACTCGGAACCTTAAATGGGTGGTTGGCGAGTGCTCTGGTGTGGTTTGCTCTTTCTTTCCCATCAAACATCTGCTATCATCCTTATTTGTCCAACTCCTTGGCGCGCTCATATGACCTTATGCAGTTGCAAGCACCGTAAAACACTCACCCAATCAAATCTCTTACCTCTTGTTTTGTGTTTGTTTCTCTCTTATTGTAGCACCTCCAATCTACGGCACTTGTATGACCTAATTGGGTTGCAAGTGTCTTAAAACGCTAGATATGGGTGGTTGGCGAGTGCTCTGGTGTCGTTTGCTTCTTCTTTCCTATCAAACATCTATATAATCGTTATCTCTCCTCCTTCTTTTATGTGTTTGTTACTCTCTTATTGTAACACCTCTAATCTTCGGCACTTTTATATGACCTTATTTGTTTTGCAAATTTGCCGTAAAACTCTTATTTTAAAAAATCCTCTCCTGTAACACCTCTAATATACGGCACTTATATGACTTTATTGTGTAGCAAGTGCCATGACAATCGTACTAAAACTTTTTTTAAAAACTCTCTCCTGTAACACCTCTAATCTACGGTACTTATATGACCTAATTGTGTTGTAAATGACCCAAGAGGCTGAATAAATTTTAAAAAAGAAACAACCAAAGAGACAAACAAACGAATGGGGCCCTGTAAAAGTGGATAGTGGCGCGTCTTTCATCGGGGACACGGGCGCCGTCTGGACTGAGGCTGACAAGGTGGTTGGTTCAGCTTTGCGCAGTATTGTAGGGGACAAATACAAGGGTTGAAATAAGTAGTAGCCGTTTGTACAGGTGATTGATTGTCTTTTACAGATAGCCGTTAGCGAGCAGGTTCGACCGCTGTATTTGATTTGGAAGTGCCGTAAAATTCTAACCAAAGCTAAACTTAGGCCTTTTCAAAGCTGATGATGGTGTATCTTTCGTCGTCGGCTCGGGCGCCCTTTGGAGTGACATCTGAGGCCAAGTTTGGCGTGGTACTGTATGAAACAAACAGTAGTGTCATTATATAAGATCTTAACAAGCAAAGGGGGAAATAATAAATGGTCGCCTGGACAGGTGATTGTCTTATACAGGTAGTCGTCAGTACAGGTTTGAATGCAGTATTTGTTTTGCAAATGCCGTAAAACTCTAATTTAAACTGAACTAAACTTTTGAAACTGAGTCTTGATGCGGCTTTAGTTGGCAGCTACGGTTTCGTCTTACCCGACAAGTTTGGCCAAGTTTGGCTCGATTCTGTATGCGGCAATTAAACTATGTCATTATGATATTATTTTAAAAAGCAAGGGGGTACATAAGAAGCGGCCGCTTGTACAGGGGATTCTCTCATACGTGTAGCCGTTAGAGAGAAGGTTCGACTGCTGTATTTGTGTTGCAAGTGCCCTAAAAGTCTTATACGTGATTTAACAGAGTGGATGATGGTGCGTCTTTCGTTGTCGGCTCTGGCGCCGTTTAGAGTGGCATGTGAGGCCAAGTTTGGCGCGGTACTGACGGGAAAAACCTACTAAAGATTGCTTACCTGACTTTGGCCGGCTTTGATGTATGTTGTTTGACCCCCGCTGACCCTTTTTCT